ATCTCACCACCATTCGACTCGTCTCATCGAGACGAATCCAATGAGTCCTAATTCATATTTGTACGACCATTGGACGACGAATAAATTCATGTATCGGAATTTTTAATTTTTAACGCTCAAAAATTTTAAAAAAATGCGAAACTTGACATTATGTGCCATCCAGAGGTCGTATATGGACGAATTTATATTCATTAGATTCGTCTCACTGAGACACGTCAAATGACGCTAAGATCATGCCTAGTATCGATAGATAGTTTGATAATTCCAATTATTGATAAATCATTTAGCGCAGGTTAACTTATGATCTATCGATGCTAGAGACATGATCTTACTACCATTCGACGCGTCTTGTCGAGACGAATCCAATGATATATGGCTCGACTTTGTATGATCACTAGATGGCCGGTTAGTCGATTTTTCACATTTTTATAAAAATCAGATTAAATCGAATCGAACCGCCGGTTTTTTGATTCGGTTCTTACGGATTTTGGCTCTAATCCGAACCGTCTATAATCCGGACCAAACCGACCCGTTCGGAGCTTTACTAACAATGATGAAGATGCTGATACTAATAATGATGAAGATTCTGATACTAACAATGATGAAAATGCCAATACTAACAATGGTGAAGATTCTGGTAATGATAAAGATACTAATACTACTAATTATGAAGATGCAAATAGTGTAAGCGATAATAAAAATACTAATTCAAATAATAATGACAATAAATATAAAGGTAAGGTTTATAATTTTATATTTTATAAGTATGATTGCTAACCTGAATTAATTTTCTCCATTAAAAAAATAAAAAGTTGATTCAAGATCCATTAATAAAAAATTGGATATCAAAAAGTCTAGAAGAATTTTAAAAACGCAGTATGTAAAAGATTATATAATAGTCAATTTTATAGAAATTTTATTAACTAATAATACTATCATAATATGTTTGTTTAATGTCGAATCTTTTTCTTCATGAGATATTTTGAAAATATAATTTGTCATTTTTTTTCAGTTCATTTTTTATATACACTAGTGTTCACCTGTTGTCTACGACAATGGTTAATATGTATTAAAATGGCATAATTCTGGCCAGAATTAAAAGATCTGCAAAGAATTTCCTTTTTTGGGGTAGGCTATAGTGGGGGAGGGGGGTGTGATGTGGCGCCTCAAAAAATTTCTGGAGATTCCAAGATTTCCTGAGCCGAAGCAGAAAATCTATAGTGCCGGTGGCATAGAGCCACGTGGTCCTTTGTGGCATAGTGGCTCGTGCCAGCACTCGCCACTCCCACAAAGGACCCCATAAACTTAGCCACAGCTCATAGATTTTCCGCGAAGCCACTCAGAGAATCCTGGAAATCTGAAAATTTTTTAGTGGCGCCACTAGACTTCACCCCCGCTCTGGCCTACCCCTTTTTGGAAATTTGAGCAACACAATTTTTTTAATTTCTCTGAAAAGTAACAGAAAATAAAATTTCCTTTTTTTGGAAATTCGCGTAACTGTAAATTTCCTTTTATGGAATTCTGTGTAATCCAAAATTTCAGTTTTTTGCCAGAAATAAAATTTTCTTTTTTGGTATTGTATAACATTGGCGATGAATAGGAGTAGGGTTACACAATTCAAATGACTTATTTATATGGTTAATCTAAACATAACGCCCACGTGATTGCAGTGTTTTTTAATATATAGAAGATAATTATCAAAATTTTGAATAACTTGAAGTAATTCCTCATGCAATGAATTATTATTAGTTGAATTAATATTTTTGCTTATCTGATAATTTAATTCTGTTTAACAATTTCTTTATAATTGCTTTAATTTTTCTAAAAATCACAATACATCATGTAAACATAATACAATATAAGCTAACTGAAACTTATTTTCCAAAGTAAGATTATTATTGAAGACTTCTTTAAGATTCAATTAATATTAAGAAGACCAGAATTAGTATAATCTATAACAAATAATCATTTTGATTTTCTAAGCGAATAAAGATAATAATCATATTTTATTAATCTATATAACTAATAAAAAAAGCTTCTGACATTCTATTTTGTGTAACATAAACTCGTGAAAAATCTGCGCCTGATCTAATTATAAATTATAATTTGATTGGTCACATGTATATTCTAATGGGATCTCGACTTCGATTGAATCAATCCTTGACGGCCAAAATCCTGATTAAGATTCAATCAGATGAATTTTTTTAATGCAATTGTTTCTAATTTTAGAAGGCAAGAAATAGGACCCCGCTTACTTCTAATAAAGGTCTCCGGGCAAAATTTCAGATTTACTAGTAATTTTACCAACCTTTCTTATCTCATAATTTTACTATATATATATAGTGACCTTTTAAAATTATATTAAATTTTACCTTAGATTTTCAGAGACCTAAATTTTTTTAAATATTAAATAAACAAAATATTTTATAATCATTACAATAAATTTTAAAAATTTTTTATT